GTAAAACAGAAGAAAAAAATCAGGAAATAATGAAGAGTCCCAAAGGAAATTAAATATTCCTAAAAGTTAAAGTTAAATAAATTTGAGGACATGAACATAGGATTTAGCAATAAAGTACATTATTGACTTGATGAGAGCCTCTGGGATCATGGAACACAGGCCACAGCAAGGCTTGTATGTTAAACAGAACGTGTAGATCAGAAGAAATCAAGACATTTCTGTCTATCATCTATTGAGTGATTGGTTGATCAACTGGTCTTAATCTTCTTTCTGCTACTTATAACACAATGTCACAGATCTGGGTAAGTTATACAGGAAGGATTTACTGTGGCTCATAGTTCCAGTCCAAGGTCAAGGGGCCACTCCTGGTAAATTAATCCCTTCTTTCTGGCAGAATCCTCCACTGGTTCAGGAAAGGCATCACATGACAGAAGAGAGGGGAAAGGCCTAGCCAACATGCCTTTTATAGCAGTGAAGCCAGAATTAGGCAGGCAGGCACTATAGATAGGTAATTCGAGTCAGATCAAGGCCAATTTGAATGAGTCTAGAAAGTTGAAGATCGCCCCCAGAGGGACTGAAATTCCTTCAGAGCCCTTCCTCCACCCTTATCAATAACCTGCCCAGGCTCCAATCTGTTGCTAAATTAATCTGCCCCAGGAATTGCGGCTTCCTTCAGGGAGCTATAAAGTTGTTAATTATTGTGTCATGGGCTGCTCCATCCTGCCCTTCTCCCTTCAGCCCACCTAGTTCCCACCTTTTGGCCATCCCACTGGGCATTTCCTGGACCTAGTAAGTATGCAGGAAGGAGAAAGATAAGGGGAAGGGGGCAGGAGAACAAAGAAAGCCTAAGACATATAAAAAGGGCAGAAGGCTTCACTTCTTGGGATACCAGGATACCAGCTATGACCCCCTTTTCTCTCCCTGGAGAAGTCTGTGTTACCCCTTTTTAAGTAAACCCTGCTTTATATGCTTGCCTAATGCTTCTCTAATGTTCAAACTTCAACATGTGAGGGACCAGAACTCGTCATTGATAACGGGCAGTACCAGCAGGTCCACTCGTGAGATGACCTGTGAAGGCATTAACCCACTAATCCCATGAATGGAGTAATCTGTTCACAAGGCAGGGCCCTAGTCATTTCTTAAAGGTCCCACTGAGTTCTATCTCATATTATCTCAAACAGGTATTAAATTTCAACATGCATTTTAGAGAGGACAAACCTTATTCATACCATCATACCATCCTATCATCCATCTACTCTTCTCTATATATCCATTTGTCTTCCCATCTATAACTAGCATCTGTCCATTCATCCATGTATTAATCTACCTATACCTTGGGAGAGAGCATTCAGGAAAGAGACCTAGAGAGATGATGATGTCTAGTATTCTTCCAGGCAAGTATGGTTTAAAGTAACTGTTCCATACCCAAGTGATGATGTCAGGAAATAGTTAAGCATTCCAAAAAGGGACGTGGGCTTGGGATAAATGATCCAGGAAACAGTCCAATGCACAGAAGTAGATGCAGTCACTAAGCAAAGGCTATATGGGGAAAGAGGAAGAGTCCAGAGAAAGCCAAATGGTAATGGACAGAATGAAAGCAAGGAGAGGAGCCAGAGAGCAAATAGAGGATTTCCTCAGAGATCCAATTCAAGGACCAGGCTGATAAGCTGCAAGATGAATTTCAGAGTTTATTTAAACAAATTCAAATCAAGCCCCAGGATGCAAGAAGTAAAAGCATCCCCATTATAATTTGTTATTATAAATGAATCAACCATGTCTTCAGGCCACAGCCCTGGAGCTGGTGCACCCCTGAATGTACCCAATGAGGCCCCTATGCTGAGTCTCTGCCATCTCCAGCAGCATGGCAGCCCCTCAGGAGGGCTGACCTGCCTCCTTTCTGATAAATTATAAGCTCTTCTTCTCCTGGGAGACTGCAAAGAGAAATGAGATGAAAAGTGCCTGAAGTATTACATCAGGGGCTCTTTGTGGTTCTCCTCTAAGAAAAGATATGAGGCTTGGAAGAAGAACCAAAGCTAAGGAAGACAGGGTATGAAAAGTGAGGGGAAAAAAAATAAAACATCTTTTAATATGCTTTAAGTCAAAACAATCTATGAATAATTATTATTCTTTATAAAAGTTCCACTTTGCTGGTTTGGAAAAGACTGATTGGATTATGTACCCAGGAACAATGACCTAGTTATCTTGCCCTTGCAAGACCTTTCTCTGTGGTTCTAGAACCCAGACAATAACTCACTCCCATCGGAAATCACTGGCCTCACAGGCAATGCTCAGAGACACATACACTGCCATGACCAGGTGGTCTACTGGCCAAGAACCTACAGGGGGAAGACCCTCTGTCGCAATCACAAGGACCATCTATCTTCCTGTCTCTCTGAGAAGCCTTTCCTGGGCTTCCTTCCTCCTGGGGCCCTGACACAGTCAACTAAGTGAGTTTAATTCAGAGACTTCCATCCAATCTTCTCTGCTCTCTGCTGCTGTTGCTTCTCTCCTCAACACAGAGGCGGCCATTGGTACCCCTAAGGATGGATGAGGAAAGAGAAAAAAGGAATGGAGACAGAAACTACTAGTTAGTATCTGAAACTGTACTCCACCACTGCAAGACAAATCCCAGGTCCAGCTTCCCTTCAGATAAATATTACCGCTGTCTTTTCTTTATACTGCAACTACTTTTGTTTTCTTCATTTCCGGGAAATTTCCATGTTAAGCATTTTTAGGTTACCCCATTATTTTCTGTTAGCTTGACTTCAAATCTTTTCCCTTCACAATCTTAGTTCTGCTGGCCACGTAGCACTTTTTCTCTTTCTTTTCTTTTCTTATTTATTTATTTATTTATTTATTTTTGATCCTTAAACACTTTTCTAGGAAAAAAAAAAAGCCATATTAGGTATAATATTCTCTTCCCACAAACGGTTGATTAAATCAACAGAAATGACTGAAAAGTTACTCAAGCATTCAGTTCAGTAAGCAAATCGCAATTGAAATAAAAAACAATGAAAGGGTTTCACACTCAGAAATATGAGGTTGATTAAAAGGATCCCTAGGATTTATCTTTCCAAAGTGGGTTCAGTATTTAAAGTAATTTACATGAGTAAAAAGTTAGCTTATTAGGTAACTCTCGAAGTTATCCTGGTTACAGATTTGTGTGAACACAGAGCTGACACTTCATAAACCTCTTAGTATCACTGCTAACTGAAAACATCAGAACTTGAGTGAAACTACTTTAAAAATCAAAATGAAAAAAAAAAAGTATTGTAACCTCTATAACTAGGTAAGAAAGATAAAATTCAATTAATTTTACCAGAAAATGAGTGAACATGACTCCTTTGATTATTCCTGTGGCCATTGTCAAAGGAAGAAAATTGACGAGGGCTACCAAGCACAAATCCCTCCCATCTAAGAGGTTTGTTTCAGTTTTGTTCCTCACATTACATTACTGCTGATCCTTCTAGCTAGCAAATTGGTCCTCAGCAATGGCTTAAATATGTTTTGATAAAAATTCACTTATACAGATATATTCATGGACCAAAAACTTCTAAGTAGTTCCTTTAAAATAATGACCACATTTTAGAATATGAGAATTCAATGGTAAATAAGATTTAAAGTTCCTGTTGTATGTGAAAGCATTTTTCTCTTTTAACTTAGGTCTTCACTAAAGTATTGCAAAATTTATTTAGGAAATGCTATTTGATTTCTTAGAACTACAGCAACTGGAAATTTCTTAGCAGTACAGGATTTCCTTGTTTTTAAGAAAGCCACATACATCAAATACACATCGCTAACCCTAGGCTGTGATCAATCTGATGAGTAGAGACCAATTATGAAGACTGCTTTATTAGAGTTTTTTGTTGTTGTTTTTAATCGAGTTTGAATTTTTTTTTTTCATTTACTGGAAGAGTGATTAGGACACTTAAGGTTTGGCTCCTGGACATCAAATGCAAGATCTCCCCATGAGCTTTTTGTTTTGTTTTGATTCTGTTTTGTTTTGTGTTGCTTTGCATGAAGAATTAAAGGCAAAGCAACTTTTGGACAGCTTTCTTCTTGTCAATGAAAGAAAAAAAAAATGCTTCCTTTGTTTCTTTGGAAGTTTCCCTTTCATTATACACTGAGCTACATGCCACCAAAAGTGAAAATTCTGGAGGGTTCAGAAACATGGTCCCAGGGACCAAGTGGGCATGAGGAGTGCTGTCTAGAATGAGCTGCTACTTTATGATTTATTTCGTGTCTCCAGAGGAAGTGGGTTTGTTTATCTCTGATTGTGTCTTTTTCTTAGTATAATTTGAGCTTCAAGAAAAACCAAGTGTGACCCAGCAAAAAAA